TGAGCACCCCTTTCTATGGGAGATAGAACTTTCTAAAAGAAGATCACTATGCTTGCAGGGCGGAGGATGATTTGGAGAAGAGCAGAAGTGGCTGTTCCTCAGGCACCAACTCCGGGAGGCATAGCCTTTTACAGGCTGCCTTGGTAAAGGAGCAGACCCATTCAGCACTTTGTAAACATAGCACAAATCAAATCATAGACTAAAAAATGGAAAGTAGATTTTGGCTTCTGTCATTACTGTCATTATTGTAGTTATTGTCATGGTTTACAGCCAGCTACCAACTTAGAGCTAATAGTAACTGGAGGGACAATATGGTGTGAGAAGTTTTACTGAATTGTCGCCGAATATGCCCCAATAAACAGAACGGTTATTGTCATCATCAAACATTCGTGAAGTCCCCTCGTTCCATCACTGCTTGTATGTATGTGTGTCGTGGTGATGGAGGAAAGTGTCTGAAGTGATGGATGGATTTCTCTGACCATTTTTCTTTCCAATTTTTCTTAAAGCAGTTTCCCAGAAGCTTAGGTTCTTTGCAGCATCTCTGAACCATCCCTTCTCAGGAGCTAAAACAGCACACGTACAGAGTTTGCATTCTCCAAACTACAGTTGTTTTGTTTTTGTTTTTTTCTGAATTGTAAATTTTTTTATATGTCTTAAAACTTTAAAATTAGCACATTTATTTATGTATATAATGGATTTCCATTACGGAAAACAATCTAATCAGATGAAATTAGGAATATTTTTGTAGAAATATCTAAGACCTTAACCACAATAAATGTTCAGCCTTTAGAACCATGGGAATTAACATATAGTAATGCAGTAGGAAGGAGGTTGTGGTCTGATTCACCTTACCAAATCAGGCTTTTACCCACTACTGCACATTACATTCATACTCTAAATCTGTATTTTTGCCCAATTCTGAATGTGCTGTGCATGTGCATTAATGAATATTTATTGAGCACCTGCAGTATGCCAGATACCTTGCTAGGTGTTAGAAATATGAAGGTACAGTCCCTGATCAAAAGGAATTTACAGTCTGGTGGAAAAGACAGCCAAGTGAACCAGTGATTACCACACCCCATTTAGAGCCTGGGCCAAAATTACTTAGCCAGAGTGTCTGGTAGCACAGAAGAAGGGCATTTAAATCAGAGCAGGTAACCCTTGAGTTGACTCTTCAAGGATGAGAAGCATGAGCCAGGAAGAGCACTCCAGGCACAGAGGCAGGAATTAGTCTGGTGCAGGCAAGAAACCACTAGTAATTTAGTGTGTTCAGAGCAGGGGGTGGGCATGCTAGGTGGGACTGCAGAGAAGGTTAGAGAGGCAGACTTGGTGTGTAGAAAAGGGCATATGGACTGAGAAGTAGGAGACCTGATTCTCACCCTATTCCTACCAATATTCCTCATGTGTCCTCAAGTGTGTCCTCGGGCCTTTAGTCCTCATCAGTATACCAGAGACTGAGGAGAGTTGTTCCCAAACCATATTCTGGAAACGCTGTTCCAGTAGATGTAAAAAAAAAAAAAAAAAGGGCTATGAAAAATGTTTTCTCTACTTCGATAGTTAGGGAAAGACTGAATACTACAGTGGCCTTTTAAGAGTCACATTGACTCTTAAACTTCAATTTTCTTTAACTCAGCATTTTCCAAATTATATAAATTTAGAGTGAATTTTCTATAACATTAATATTAGTATCGTGGTGCAGAGCCCCATTTTGGCAGACAGTGGACTAGATCTCAAAGGTCCAGTCATCTTCATTCATTCATTCGTTAAGTTTTTAAAAGTACAGAACCAAATAATTGATTTATATATACCCACTTTTTAATTTAGGTTACTACTGTATCCCTGTAATAAACTTTAGTTGTTTATTTTTCATAGCAATGGTTTTTTTTTTTAAATTACATCAACTGTCCTGGGATATTTTTTTTTCCTTATTTTTCATGTCATGCTCAGACTTTATTACCTGGTAATAAGTTGCAAGAAATGTGAATTGAATTGTTTCTCAACAAATATCCATCATTTGTGATTTAATAGAAATTATAATGAACAAAGTAAGGGTTTTGCTTATTATGAAGTTGTTATATTCAACATTGGCAAATCCCAAAATTAATAATGAGTCCATAAATCATTTGTGTTGCTAAAGAGTTCAAATAAATAAAAACAAGATTGACCTTGTTAGAAATTTGCTATTTTCAACATTTATCTGTCAGAGCCACTGATTTGGAAATTGTTATAAATTCCTTAAAAATGGGAACTTTTTTTCCCTGTAAAAACACCCATCATTTGGCAAACTACAGTGTCATTTTTCTTGAAGAGAATGTAGTGATTGATTATCCAGAGTGCTACCATGACAAGGTAAACGAACCAAATAGCTGTGAAATTGTATGTAATCATATAGCATCACACAGACTCCGTGTTGAGCACAACCATTAGAATTAAACCATGGCAGCATCAGGCATCACCTACTTGCCTACTCATTCCCTGCTGGTACTTCCTGTTCATCCCCAAAACCTTGACCTCCAGTGGATATGCAGAGGTGTTTGCAGTCCCCCCTTCCCTTCCAACTGAGCACTGCAATAAATCAGACCGAACCTTATCCACCCAAAGAGATTTCAAAATGCAAAAGTATCTGTGCTTAAAATCCCTCACATATATGACATCCAGAGATTTGCTTTTGTGTATTAACATTATTAGTCTCGTTTCTTTCATTGATAGTATTATCCTGAAGATCCTGAGAAATTATAAACAAGTAGGGGGAGGGAAGAATGGGAGATGGACAAAAAGAAAAGAAGAATGCAGATCTCTCTTGAGAAGTTGATAATTTATTCAGGAAGAGCAAACACACCTGAGATGATTTAAGAAGAACCGCACAGTATTTACCCCATGTGAAAGTACCGGTGCACAAATTGACTACGTGAGTCATGAGGGCCGATAGAGTAAAGGAGCGATCAAATTACCCTTGGTTACTAGAGGACTGAATTGAGTCATGAAAAAGGAAGGGGCCACCCAAACCTACCCCGGAGATGGTTATCAATAGCATAATTGCGAATAGACCCAGGCCCTCTCTCCCAATCATCAGAGTGATCTCCTGTGCCCATCTTCCTTGCAGTGTTTCAGATTTTAAATGCGCTTTGTGAGGATGGCTGAGCTCCACTCTCCTTTATTAATTGCTGTCCACATGCTGCAGGATAGCCTGTGTTCAGAATCAGGATGAGGATTTTAAATTCTTCTTAGCGTGGGGTTGTGTAGCCAGGCCGAATCAATTCCTGTCACTCACACGCAAATACAGAGGAATGGGATTATGGATCAGGGTGAAGCTGCGGTGCTTTAATCTTAAAATCAATACAGAAAAGGAAGTTGAACTTGTGGGGATTCTAGAGAGACTGTAATTTCGCTTCCTATGAGGCTTGCCTTGCAGAATATAACTGCTCCTTCCTTCTCACCTTCTGATTATTTTACTGGGAATGGGGAAGGGGAGAGAAGACGAGAAACCGCTACAACCAGGTCATCTTGAATAAGCATGCAAATGTAACTCATAATTCAAGCTAACCCTCCATTGTACTGAGAGAAAGCTAAATACTTTTATCCATTCTTTTTATTTTTAGAAAAAAATTAGCCAAAACCCTATACCTCGTAGTCTGTATTAAGCATAATGAAATACCTTTGATTCCTTCATAGTTCACTGTCAGACTAGAAAAATATTTCTTTGCAGTTTAATTTTATGGCTACACCTACCACAGCCTATGTGATTTTATATAAACATGTATTCAACACACTAGTTATTGACCAAAGGATTCCAAGCCACTAAGCATGTGATTAATATTTACTCCAGGCTTTTTCTTTGTGCTGCCTGTCATAGGTCCCTAATCTCAAAGAGCCCCAGAGCTGACAAATCAGTCTCCAACTGAATATGCATTTTCTTTCTTAAAAGCCACAGACATATATTGTGGAAGCCAAGAGTTCCATGAAACTCTGCTGCTTTTGAAAGAGGCATGAACTAATGGCCTAAACAACTCAGTCTTTTCTGAATCAAAGATTTCGAATTTATTGAATATGCCTCTTCTCAGATATGGCACTGATTTGCTGCACAGCACAGTTAGTCTCTAGTTTTAAGATGGGCTTATTATTTTTCCCTTTAGATATTTCTTTAATTCAGTTTTAAAATATGTCTGAGTGTGTCGGGCCCTGCTTTTATAGTGGCAACAACAGTACGAAATACTGTGATCTCATGAGAAAATGGCTGGTCCATGGGCCAGAGAACTCAGATCTAGCTCTTAGGAAGAACAGTGTAGTTAGGAAAGCAAAGCCTAGAGCCCTTGCTTTGTTTACTTTCCCTTTCTAAACCTGTTCCCTCATCTTTAAATTGGGGATGATTATAGGATCCACCCGACAGGTAGGGGTGTTGAGAAGATTAAATGAAATAAAGTATGCGACGTGCTTAGCATGGTACCTTGCACTTGTAAGGACCCTATAAATGTTCATGATTGTCATGATTATTATGTCAGCCTCAAATGAGATAACATATGCTCTGTATGTGAAAACATTCTACAAGCTGTAAAACACAATACAAATGTTAGTTGTTGTCCTTAACAGATTGATGGTTTTAAAACTTTTAAAATAAATCATAGAAGGCTTTTTCTTTGTGCTGCCTGTCATAGGTCCCTAATCTCTCAGCCCTCGAGGTGATAAATCAGGCTCCAACTAAATATGCATTTTCTTTCTTAAAAACCACAGGAATATATTGTGGAAGCCAAGAGTTCCATGAAACCAATTTGAAAATCCCTATCCCATGTCCTTCCAGAAAAAAAAAAACTCTAAGGTCTTTGGAAGACCACCACTATGGAGTATACTTATTTTGTTGTTTTTTGTCCATATTTTTAAATGTCACATCCTTCCAGGAAAGTTCAAGTGCCTTAATATTACATAATTTCAGTTGTCCTGCCTTGTCCTACACAATACTTGAGTATCAAAATCTCATGAGTTTCTCTTTTGTTGTTCATTTCCAGAGCACCATCATTGTGGAGAAGACAGTGCAAGACCTTATGAACCTAATGCATGACTTGAGTGCATATTCGGATCAATTTCTCAACATGGTGTACGTGAAGCTCCAGGAGTACAGGGAAACCTGCGCTGCGGCCTACAGGTAGAGTTTCTGCTCAGAGCCAAGCAAAGTCACTTTAGAACCTGATGGTTGTTCTGATTGGTGAAATTGCCTGCATAGCCTAACTTGTGCCACTTAGAAAGGATCATCCCTGAGTTTGTCAAGGGACCTAATGAGAACATGGACCACAGATAGAGTCTCTTAGACCCTTATGTTAGTTGGACCGACAGAGGGATTGAGAGGGAAGAGGGGACAGAGCCACTCAGGACTGCCATTGGGTGGCTCAGACAAGGGTAGCATTGATTTTCATGACAGTCTAGAATTGTACGATTTGTCTCCCTCAAAGAAATTCCAGATCTTGATTAGTCCATTTTGTGATTGGAAAGATCCTTAAACTATTTATAATAGTATTTCTTTTTTATTCTTATAAATATGTTCCTCCTGATGTAGCCTTCCTACTGTCACAGGACAGTTATGCCTGTCTTCAGCATCAGTGGGAATGAAAAACCATTGTTACTAACTTGAAAATCATTAGTTACTCTGATTTCTTTGAATTCAAAAATCTCTCTGGGCTTGTGGAAAAAATCATAGCACTTCTCATAGAAAGCTAATAATAGGAACAAATTATGGGCTGGTTGACAAGACATGAAACAATTAGGGAAGAAAAGAATGTATAATAAAATACTAAACAATATGCGATATATAATTAAGGATAGATAGGTAAAGTACAGTACGTGATCAGGTGCTACTTGTACAGTACAGATTATATGGGTGAGGGAATAAAACACGAGAAAAAGAGAAAGGGTGGTTGCAGTCAGGGATGATTGGCAGAAAGTCAGATATGTGCTGAACAGATGAAATTTACGGAGGTGGAGAGAATCAATAAGGGCACGGCAGGGAGGGAGAGGAAGCACTAAGATAGTTGCCTGATAGTTGGAGGGGACAGTGAGGAGGAAGTTTGACTGAAACAGGGTCCCTAGTAAGAGGTAGTAAGAGATAACGTTGAGTAGGAAGAGTGAGACCAACTAGGGTCTTCAAAACTAAGACTTGGAAATTTAGATATTGTATAGTGCATAAGGAATTATTATCAACGAGCCAAGAGGCAATGTTTAGGGAAAATTAATCTGGCAGAGGAATACAACATAGATTAATGCTTAACCTCCCTCATTCTAACAAGAAGTGATAATTATCCAGAGTCACATGTACCAATTAAAGAAGAGAAACCCAACCACCTTATTGAGGTGCACTTCCAAAAATATTTTACTTTTTTGTTCAATAATTTTTTATCAAAAATTATACTAAGCTTAAACTCATATAATTAATAATGTCAAAATCAATTATGTACGAAATAATTATAATGATAATTCAAATTTAAAAAGTTAGTCTTGTAACAAAATTTTAATTTAAACTTTGGATTTTAATTTGTACAAGTAATTTTTTGCAGAAGACTACAATGTAATAATCAATAAAATAATTTCAAGCATGAAAATATATTCCATTAGGATAAAATTCTTTGAGGAAATGAAATAGAAATAATAATTCAAAGAGCAAAAGTACAACTGAAACTTTGTATCCTTTGAGCAGTATCTCCCCACCCTACTCCACCATCCCCAGCCCCTAGTAACCAGCATTCTGTTCTCTACTTCTGAGTTTGACTTTTTGTAGATTCCACATGTAAGTGAGATCATGCAATATATTCTTTCTGTGTCTGCCCATTAGATACATTTAAAATAGTGATTTTAAAGCGTCAAACTTTATGGTATGCCAAAAATTATATTTTTTGAAACTATTTAAACTCAAACTCATTCTGAAAAAAATTAAATTTCAACTTAAAAAGGGAAGGAGAATATAGTTTTTCAAAATTATTTTAAGGGATACACACAAACAACAATTGTAAAAGCCATTGCTCTAGGTTAGTTGCCTGAGATTGGAATTTCTGGTCCATAGAGTGTTGTATTTTCAGCTTTACAAAACCAAACTCAAAGTGGTTGTATCAATGTCTCATCTACCAAATGAGAATTACAAAACGTATTTTAAGTATTAAAACTTTAACATTAAAAAATTAAAGTATTTTTAAATAATTGTATTTTAACAATGTTACATTTTAAATTTACTTTTATTTTTAACTCCCATTAAATTTAAAGCCTTTTTAAAAAACAGAAGGGCATGCCCTTTTTTTCTTATACAGATCCGATTATGGGCACCCAATAATTTCTGACAAATAATAATGTGGATGAATATGAGTTATAATGGAGATGTTGCATAACTTGACCATTATAAGGCAAAGTTGACTGTAGAATCTAAACTTCACTGATGGCCATTTACATAGTATTGTTGTTATTTTGAAAGAAAACGTTTAAGTTCCTGTAGCCTGGCACCTTATTCGTCATAGGTGATTTTCTTCTCATCGTTTGTGATCCTGCCTCTCAACATAGCAAGTGACTGGAAGTTACTACATCTACAAAGCAGACTGGCCATTGTTCAACATTTCTCATCTGAAACTTTCTCTTGTTTTGAAGTGATACTCTCCTATGCCTTGGACATAGTCCTTTTTTCTAGAGTGATTCCAAATCAGTTTAATCCTTATGTATGAAAGCCCCTCATATATGAAAACATAGCTTTCATGGCCCATTTAGTCTTTATTTTTTCACCCTAGTCTGAACATTCTGGTATATCCTGGGTCTGCAAGCCAACCCAGTCATCTTTCTCCATCACCCATTAGCTTGGCAGTGTCCATCTCAGAAAGGACCTGCACCCAGTGTTCCAGATGTGCTCAGGGTATTTCAGCAGAACCAGCACTTTCCTTGTGCTGGGCACAGTACTTGTTACATTGTATCATTGCATTTGTCAGACATTTATTGAGCATCTACCAAGATACCATGTGAGTGGGGCAGATAAAGAAGTTAATCAGCCACCTATTCCACCTTCAATGAGCTTGTATTCTTGCTGAAGAATAGAAAGGGAAATATGGGACAAAGAAATAGAATATGTACATCCACAGCTTTAATTTGTACCAGAAAACGTGGTAAGTTCAGTAAAGACACCTGACTGCAAGAGAAAGAAATGACGAAGGAGGACAGGAGAGGCTTGGTGAAGGATTTGAATTGGGCTTTGTGAAGCAGGAGGAGGATTTAGACAGATGGGCTTAAGGAGGGGAAGGAAGGAACCAGAGCGAGAACAAGTGATGAATGTTTGGGTTTTAGAAAGGAAAGCTGGGGCCAAACTAGAGGATCTTGAACGTCAGGCTCAAGGAAGTTGACCTTTTAAACAGGTAGTGAGGGGCCACTTGAAGGTGTGTAAGCAGGGAGTACCAGGTGTAGACCTGTGCTTTGGGGAAATTTGAAAAGGAAGAGTGGAGGAAGAGGGGACAGAGACATTAGGGCCTCAATTAGGGGAGACGCAAGGAAAACGGAGGCGAAGGGGTAGATCACAAGGCATTGCAGAGGTAAAATTTGTAAGATTTGGCCACTAGTTGGCTGTAGCAGGTAAGGAAATACCAAGAAGAAATAAACGCTGGTTGAAATTAGTATTATCTTTTCTATGCTGTATTTGTGGTGATTTTTTTCTCTAAATGTAAATTCGAAAGCTCACATTTACCCATTAAATGTAATGTTATTTTTAACTCATCATTTCAGTCTATTGAGATATTTTTGAATCTTTATCCTGTCATCAAAAAATCTTAGCTATTTCTCCAAATTCCATGTCATTCTCAATTTCATAAGCAATCTTTTAGTTTTTGTTTTATGTTTGTCATTGAAAAAAGTGTTCAACAGGACAGGACTCAGTTGAGAATTTTGGGGTTATACCCCTTAAGGTTTCCTTTTAGATGATCTATATGTTACTCAGCACTTGAGGAGTTCATGTTTTTCTGGGAACTAAGAACCTGGGCTTTAGCTCAAGAGCAGGCCCTGCAGCTGAAGTTTGAATGCCAGCCTTTCTACCTACCGGTTAGATGACCTTGAACAGCTATTCAGCCTCTCTACCTTAATTTCCTTATCTGCAAAAAGGGATAATACTAGTCCTTTTCTCAAAAGGTTGTTCCAGAAATGTCAATCTTTTAGAACTTTTTAACAAAATAATGTACTGTCTGAAACATGATTAGCTGTTTTTTTAATCAATAACATAGCCATTTATAAATTAGTATGTACTGTACACAATTGTATGTACTAAACTTTTTTCCCCCCAAAACATTAAGGGGGTACAAATGATGTCTTAAGTTACATGATCACTTTTGTAATGCTCGAGTTCTGGCTATAGATGTGCCCATCACCCAAACAGTGTTCATTGTACCTATTAGGTAGCTTTTTACCCCTCCCCTCCTCCCCCCATTCCCCTTGGTTGATTTCCACAGAGTTTCACTTTCCTCTGTGCACATGTGTGCTCATCCGTTAGTTCCATTTAATAGTGAGTACATGTGGTATTTGTCTATTCTACTCTTGAGAAACTTGGTCTCCAGTTTTAATAATGACAATGATGGTGATGATGATGATTGCCTTTACCACCTCCCGTGATAATGTTTTCTATATTTCATCATCTGCCCCATACGAGACTTTATTAGATTCCTTACTGGTGTCTTTCCAGTCTTGATCCTTTTTATGCAGCCAACCCTCCCTCATGTCTCCCCAGGATGAGCAGGGACAAACCAGCTATGGACAATACTAGGCGTTTGTTCAGATGCCCTCCCATCCCTTTACTTTACTTTTAGGACTCACTTCTCCCTGCTGAACCATTTCTTAAGAACTCTTGTCTTGGGTAGCTTTGAGATTACTTTTGGAAAAACCAAGAGCCAAATTAACCACTTTTTCATTTAAGTCAGTTAGGAAAGGAAAAAGTCATGTGACTTGTTCTTTGCGAGCTCTTCCTAGTTCCCAGTGAGTACCGCTTCTTAATTGTTCACAAACTACCTTTAACTGTTTAGAATTTTGCCTTTAATTCCAAATTCAGCCCATTTCTGTAGTCTCCCTTCCTTTTCTTTATGAACGTCAGGGATCTGCTCCTGGTCATTTTTCCCTGTCTGTCAGGACAGCTTCAAGATTATCAGC